GCTGAATTGCACAAAACGCATGATCGCACCGGCTAGTCTGGTGCGCGTTGCCATTTATTTTTCTTTTTGCACAACCTGCTACGACGCATGGGCTTCGAAGTTATTTAGGCGCAGTCATAGAGCGGAAGTAGCCATCCTTTCTAGAAGCAGTTGTTCGGGCCAGTGTCCGTTTATTACTACCACGCGTCAAGTGACTGCTTTCTTTTTCATGGATACCACTCAGAATGGCATACAATAAACAGATATTGCACTGTATGCTTCAGCAAAAACTATACTTGCAAAAACATACATTTCCACCACCATCAACGGCTTTTCGCATGAATTCATGGCATTCATCAAAATACTGCTCAAGATTTGTCCACGGCAAATCCAGCACATCAAGTGTTAGATACTTGATTTTACCCAAGAAAATATTCTTCACTCCCGTCGCACAGTTTATTATATGTGTAATATTGTGTGCCATCAGTATACTGTAATCATGAGCCACATCTTGACTTCCTAGAAATAAGAATTTTACACAGCATCAAATAAGCGATCGGCCACGACGGAAAGTCAGATCTGATGAACTCGATGAACTACTCGCTTTGGTGACAACCGGTGGATATTATCGTGCATCAGTGAGTGCTGCCTGTGAGAAAAAAATAATTCTCAGGCGGGCCCAAATACTGATATGCGCGTGCTCGCACGGAAGTGAAATCAGGCACAACTTCGCCTGGCATGAGTGCATCCCGGGAACAACAGTAATAATGGAACTCCACAAAGTTTTTGTAAGCGACCCTGGCGACGAAGTGGCCCAAGGGGACTTGCAGCTTGATGCTGAACTTCCAGGTCAAAAAAAAAAAAATACTGATACTGGATTTAAAAAAAAAAAAAAAAAGAACTGAGAAATTTTTCATCCAAGGACACCAAGATCGGCCAAACTAATAAGCGTGGGAATCCCATGTTAGTGATGTACTGAGAGACTACTGGGGATGCTGTCAATGCCATGCCAGGCACAGTTATGCCAGGCTCTTTGACTCAGGGGTGCAAAAGTTCATACAGGCTCTTTAGAGAATGTTTCAAACAAAGAAGAAGGAATAAGCACATGCTAGAAAACGCATAATATGAAGAAATTTCATGTAGCAACTGTCAAATTCTTCATCCCTCGCCTAAAAATCGCCACTGTTACTTCCAAAAGCGACTTTGTCTTACAGACGTCTACATGAATGTAAATGGAGTCTTTTACTTAGTAATGCTTTAAATGTGCAAAAATTATATCATGCGTTGTACGATTAGCTCTGCTGTGGGTGATGGTGGCTGAAGATCGAAGGCATCGACATGCATGGCCCGAAATGACTGCACTCGTTTATCGCTGGTTTCGAGATTATTAGGAGCTCCGCAACATAATGAGTTCAGGCAGTGACAGAAGACAAAAAAGCTGACAAAAGGAAAACATACTGAAAGAATTTTTGTAATAAAATTAGATGAGATGATAAAAATTTCGGTGAAAGAGGCAAAGAAACATTTACCGAAAAAGCACTTAAATCAAAACGACACGGGCTCACCAAGATACACTCCATGGGAGACATTGGCCATCTGCAGGTCCGGATTTAGATCAAGCACGAAACCCAAATTATATCGCCGAAGCCGAGCTTTCAGCTGCCGATTGGACAGCGCTATCCGGTTGGAAGCCGCTTCGAAACTCGGTTTCGGAAATCCATTCGAATTTGCATCCTGATCAAATGTTATTTCAACTTCCTGCACTTCCTTCCCAATGGCCCCTTCTTTACGTTCATTGCCATCATCAATGTATGCGAAGCCCCCGTCGCTAGTGCGTTTTTCAGTCATCACAGTGCCATCTCCCGTTGTTACTCTGTAAATAAAATGTTGCCACAACCATCAGGAGCATCTGGAATAACTGTTACACTGCAGTCTGATTTTTCAGTCATGCAGTTGGTAACTTTTCCTGACAAAAATTCTGCACAAAATTGATGATTTCAGATTCAAACCTGGGTAAAAATTTTTCATTTTTTAAATTTTCCTTTCATTTTTAGCTTGTAAATTTGCCGGATTCATCTTATTCGGCATTCCTTCAAAAGGAGGAAGTGTTTGAAACGCTTTACATCAACAAAAATGTGAAAATTATCAGTACTTTTATAAGTGAATTCCTGTCGATAGCACATAATTCTGGGAAAACTGGGAAGCTGAAATTTTGCAAGGATGTTCCGGGGGTTCATGTACGAGCCAAAGTTTTCAAATAGTAAAGGAGAAGGAGAACCTAAACTTCCTCCCCTCCCTCCCCTTTCTTCACTCTAAAAGGATAAAATTGAAAATACATTATAAAGTGTTTTATGTATTTTAAAATGTATCCTTAACTTTATCCCGTTAAAGTGGGAAAGGGAAGAGGTTAGGTTTTCCTTTAGTAGATTCAGCTTTCATGCACGCTTGCGTTTGATGCACCACACGTGAAATTTTTAGTGGAAAAATTTGCAGCTTAGAAATTAGAAAACATTTCGACCATTTTTTGCACACACCAAAATGCAAAACAGCGAGAATTAACAGATCGGATGGAGCTGCGCAAAACAAGTTCTCATCCTGGCGTGCGCGCCGCTGTTTATTTTTAAGTAATTCCCAGGAAGAAAACTACTTGCTACAATAAAAGCTGACCACTGACACAATTTTCTTAATTGCTCTTTTTTAAAAGCCATAGAAATATATTAGTATCGAAAATACAGATAATTTTCAGGTAAAAGGAAGCAAGGTTTTCAAGACACACAAAGAAGGAATCATTATTTCCATACCTGACACCAAAGATTTTTGTTTTTTTAATTAAGCAAGTTTGCTTTTCTTTCCTTTTGTGTTTTTTAAGGAGCAGTACTCAGTCAAACTGGCGACTAAGAGAGGATACGAAGATTTGAGAGGAATTATGACAAAACGGATTGGAAGAAGTGCGACCGGTGGCGTGGGTACATTCCAGTGACAATACTGAGATCGAAATCCCACACTGACTGTTTGGGCCATCTTATAAAATCATGGTTAGTTGAGATGCCAGCAGCCAATCCAAATTAAACTGATAATTCAGTAATTGACAATCATTTGATAGTTTGATCATTTTCCTCATCAAACCCAATTTGAGATCACCACAGAACACCTGATGAAGAGCGTCGGTACCCGCCAGCTACCATCCAAAGAAAATACAGGTGCGGAACTGCTGACTACGAAACGAAAGATCGCCGTGTTTTGTTTACTACTAATTATTGTGAAATAGCAATAGAATTCTAGCCATTGCTATTAGTAAAGTTGCAGCAGCGCAAAAAATATAATTTGAATGCTCTTTACTAAAATTTACATGCCGCATTCAGTGAAGCTCGGATAATTTTAACCAAAAATTTTGAAAAAATCTTTGCAAAAAGAAAACATTTTAAGAACTTCTTCAATAGGAACTCATTGCACAGCAATTCTTTTACCAAAAATTAAAAAAAAAA